TTTCACCAGTGTTGCTGAATTCCCCACTGTCCCACTGTGTCATCCCAGCACTGTTAAATCAAGGCCTTGGACAATCGTCAACTCTCGTCAGCTCACTGTTGTGCTAGCTGTTGCGTGCTGCCGCACACGTCTGCTGCCGCACACGCATGCTACCGATTTTTGCTACTATCACGCGGGCTGCCACCTCGTAGCTACTGTCTAGCAACACTTTTCGTCAGCCTACACCTTAACGAATTTTAACCCTGTGATAGGCAGATACAGGGGGTGGCCAGTAAAAGCTCTGCAAATTTTTTGCCCCCGCCTCTTCTTGAATAATTTTAAATTTTAACTATAAATTAAGTAAATTTTAACTTTTGATCTCCCAAAAATTTATTTATAATTTTACCTCTCCAAGCCTAATATCATGGTTTTGCCCTGCTTGTCATGTGTATCGAACTTACAAAATGACAAATATCATTCTTAATATTTTTTTTGAATAAAAAAAGTTAAAAAGAAAAATACTAAAAAGACAAAAAATTAAAAGTAAAGTTTAAATCAAAATTTCAAACAATACTTTAGCTGGTAATTGTTTTTACCATAAAAAAGCAGATTTTTAATTTAGAATGTGTTTGGTCACTATGTTTTTTTAAATTTTAATGTTTTTATTTAAAATAAAAAATTTATATTTTTAAATTATTTTGATATGTTAATATTAAAAATAATTTTTAAAAATAAAATAATTTTATTTTAATATATTTTTAAATAATTGTTTTTTTAAACTATCACTACAGTTCTGGCGGCTTAAAAGGTTATCAAAGAGGAACGTGTTTTAGACGCTCCTTCACCTGTACGTATCGGATCCCAAAATAACCTCCCTCCCGGCCCCAGATCAAACTCCCATCAACGGTTAAACCACTGCCACGTAATATTACCCCAACAACGAAATCAACTCCCCACCCCATCTCTTTCTCTCTCCACAGCACTATCCTCTCTCCTTCTAAAATCCCTGTCTCTGGATCTGTCAGAGACTAACTAAAAAGAAAATATCCAAAATCAACAAACAAACAGTTAATTCATCCATGTAGATCATCAACCCTCTCAGCCCAGCTCAGCAAAAAAAACTAATTTTCTCGCAATGGGCGAGCCTTTCTTCGATCTAATGGAGTTTCTAAAGACACCTTCCATAACTGAAACACTTGTCGACATTTTGCTATGTGCAGTACCGATATGGCTATCCGTTATGATCGGCCTCGTTATTGGCTGGTCTTGGCGGCCTAGGTGGACTGGCTTGGTCTTTCTTGGCATGAGGAGCAAGTTTAGGTTCCTTTGGACTGTGCCTCCTGGATTTGGAGCTCGGCGTCTCTGGCTCGCTTTTACAGCTATCTCGACCTTTTCTGTTTGCCGCACCATTTGGTCCAATTTCCAGGGTAAAAATCGAAAATCAGCACCCGCCGCTGTGGCTTCAAGTTCGGCAACCTCACCGAGGAATCCAGGGGGGAGAAGTGACGGTTCTATTAGGTTAGCTGCATTTCCTTTTCCTTTTTCTAGTTTCCTTTATTTATTTTTCATGGTTTTAAATTGCTATAATTAATAATTTGGATGCGGTCTTTTTCTGATTAATTTAAATTTCTAATTGCAATGAAATTAATTATTGCACTCCGCTCACAAGAAAACTGCAGTGTAGGCTGCTCTAAATTCCTGAGCAGTCGAGGGAAATTAGCAATAATGCATGCAAGATGGCTGATTTTGCATACAATGATGAAGTACTCTAGTTTGTGACCGTTGAGGCCTACTTATCACAATTGTGTAGTTGCATAGAAGCTTTAAGGAATACGAGTGCTTAAGCTACTGCTTTGAAGTGCTATGGGAAATGTAACGTGATGGAATGATACAAAGTTGGCCATATGGGTGCGATAAATGAGTGTTAAACATGTATTGTCTATGCATTTTTTTAATAGGTAATATAATAAATGATGAATGTTCTGAGTTCAGTTTCTAGTCGAGAAACTGTGCATCGTCTGCTATCTAGGGGCGTGAGACTTTGTGCATTTCTTAGTTCTAGTTACACCTATTTGCTAGATATATTCATGTCCTGTTTGGAAACCAGTTGTAGGGGTGAATACCAAGTCCTGGTGTTAGTAACTGATGATGTTAGTAACTGATGTCAAGTCACTATTTCAAAGAGTTTAGAGCATCTGAAATTTCTTTGTTTTGATTATTGAAATTTTTTAGTAACTGACGCCTTCTAGTGTTATAAGCTAGATTCAAATTAAGCAGCGCTTGCAGTGACAATATTGTTTGGTTTCTTAAATGTTATTATTGGGAAGTGTCCTTTATTCCTTGCATGGTCAAAAAATAACCATGTGTTCTAGTGAAACGTCAAGAATATCAGAAGAGAAAAACAGGGATTGTACGCTTTTAGAAAAGTTCTGTATTCCTGCTGTAGGTTATTTATAGGGTGTAGCAGCCACTGTAAATTATTTCATGAGAGATTGTGTGCTTTATTGAAAGGTAATGACTTGCAGGTTTCAATGGACATGAATGTAAGCCAAATATTCTCCTTGAATGAAAATTTCCATGGTATTAGTGGACTTTGTCACTCTTCCAGACAATGGATGTTTGAAGTTCTTTCTGGCCTCTCTGGATAATATGATATATGATAATTGGAGCTTTGGCTTAAGAAAAAAAAATAGTAATTTAAATTCTCAGGTTCTCTTGATATATGTTAGTTGTTGTGCCTTTATCATCCAAAAAAAAAAAAGGTCTCTTATGATCTATGATAATTGTAGCTTTTATTTCGAGTGATCTCAGACTCCTTCCTTGAAAAAGTAACTTCCAAAGTGTTGACTCTCTCTCGTGTGTGCACACACAAAAGATGTGGACAGTTTCATTGGATTATTGGAGGGTGTTAATTAATGCTGGGCTTGTATTTGTTTGAGTTGTTTCATATAAGATACCTGACTATCATTAATGTGTTGTTCTGGAAATGGTGTACTATTTGTTCATAAAGATGACTTGGTTTGTGGTATGCTACTTTCATGCAGCTCCTCTGGTGAGTTAGAGGACAGGGAGGACATTGTCACTGAGAATGACTTAGAACACCTATTGCATCTGCTGGAGGGGAAGGATGGACAGAAGGAGTGGCAATGTATGATGGAAAGGTCAACCTCGAACATGAGATACCAAGCTTGGCGCCATGAGCCTCAGGTAGATTCAAACTGTGTTTCACTGCTGAAACTGCCTGTGAGAAATAGTTGTGGTTTTTTTAGCAACCATCCTGTAACCACATGGTTCGAGCATCATTACTATATGCTGGGATTGCTCGGTCATGGGAGTTTATGAATATTGCAGAAAATTCCCCAATTTGGTTCCCTTTGCATTTTCTGGATTTGGTCTTGAGGTGTCTATATGTTATTCCACTTGTCATGTATTTCCATGGTTGGTTGTTTAGTTAATCGCTAAAATGCCTGGTGCTGTGTGCCTAGATGCCTTAGCATGCATATTCTAATATGTTTGTGCAGCCCATCATTCAATGTTCAATAATGTTTCCTTTATTGTCCTTCTTCTCTTCAAATCATGTACTGAATGGCAAAGCTAGAAATGATTTTGAGAGTATTTTTTCTATCAGGAAGGTCCCACTGTATATCGAAGTAGATCTGTCTTTGAGGATGCGACTCCAGAGTTGGTTAGAGATTTCTTCTGGGGTGATGAGGTTCGACCTAAATGGGATACAATGCTGGCTTACTTCAAAATACTTGAAGAATATCCTCATACTGGAACAATGATTGTGCACTGGATAAAAAAGGTTTGATGTATAAATTATGCACAAAGTTGTGTTTATTGATATCCTGTTTCCACTTTCTTGTTTGATGTATCATTGATTGAGAAGAAGTTTCCTTGTCCAATTTGCAGTTCCCATTTTTCTGTAGTGATCGAGAATATATCATTGGTCGAAGAATATGGGATGCTGGGAAGACATATTATTGCGTGACCAAGGTACTGATGGAGGCATCTCGTAATTGTTGCTTGCTGTTGCTTTTTGTCCTTGTTTGTTTCTTCTTCATTCTTCTGAAGAACAGGCCCCTATCTGTTTTGCCTTTTTTTTATTAAGGAGGAAGAGTTTGATTGGAGTTCTGTGGTTAATTTAAGGATGAAATAAAGGCGAATGGTAGCGTACTAGCAACTAGATATGTTCTTTGTTGCGTCTATCAATTCAATCATTCCTGTACATGGCAGTATACTAGCAACTAGATTGATATAACATTTGAATCTCCCTTTTTGACCTGGATCTGAAGTTTTACTTCTTTTTAAGTTAGTATAAATTCATCTTGCATTGGTTGTTGAATGCTATGGCAATCTTTGTTAACTAGCAAATCTACAAAATTGCAGGGGGTTCCTTATCCAGGCCTGCACAAGCGTGACAAGTTAAGGCGTGTTGACCTTTATTTCTCAGGTTGGGTTATTAGGGCAGGTGAGCACTGTTGTTGGTTACACAATCTTAATCTCACAATTTGGCGTACTTTATCACTGAGAAAGTAATGGTGCCTTTTGTTTTGTGTCCTTGATGCACGCATATAGTGGAATCTCGTAAAGGAGACGGACAGATGTCTGCATGTGAGGTTACCCTTCTACATTACGAGGACATGGGGATACCCAAAGATGTGGCCAAGTTGGGGGTTCGTCATGCGATGTGGGGGGCAGTGAAGAAACTGCATTCTGGTATGAGAGCATACCAGAATGCAAGGAAATCAGAAGCTTCGTTGTCCAGAAGCGCGCTAATGGCAAGAATTACCACAAAAGTGTCTTTTGATGAAGGCATGGATTCTTCAGAAACAGTTAATGAGGAGGATAGAAGTCCAGCTGTAGATATCCAAAGACACAAGGATCATGGTATTGATTGGAAATGGATAGCTGTAGGCGGAACAGTAGCACTGGTTTGCGGTCTTCACACTGGTGCGATTGGCAAGGCTTTGTTACTGGGAGCAGGGCAAAGACTTGCACGGAAGTGAGGGTCTCCAGGTCAAGGACGTCGTGCCCCTATCCGTATCCGTTTCAAGGGAGTTTTTATCCACTTGTTGAGTTATGGACCAATATTTATCAAAGATGGATGATTTATATTTTTCTCACGATGGCTCTCGTTGGGTAAGAATCTCGTCCTCCCTCCCTTCCAAAGCTTTCATATTCAATGAAGGTGTCTGTTAATTATGCAATTTTGCTTGTGAAAAGAGCGGGTTTGTGCCTGGCGGGTGGTTTTGGAATCTCACAAAATTTATCGAGCTCAACGGGGAAGACCCACATAAGCTAGCTGTAGCTTTGGGGGAGGGATGGATGGATAACCGGCCCAAATCCAAGCTTTAGGTCTTTCTCTCATTATTATGTGTCCATCTACCATAAAACGGATGCTTTGCCCAGTTAAGAACTTACATCATGTTTGTGATAGTTATTGTTTGTTAAGGTGTTTTTTATTTAGTAATATATTAAAATAATATTTTTTTATTTTTTAAAATTTATTTTTGATACTACTAAAAATATATATAAAAAAAACATGGTAGTAATCTAAGACTATGAAAGCCGCTGCAAATGTATTCGAATGTTTCGTTATTGAAAAAGTTACAATTAAAGCTTAGGTATTATTAAAACATGAACACGTAAAAAAAGAAAAGGAAAAAGAAATCCTGAAATGATATCTGATCACTTAAAAGAGTTGCTTTTATTAAGACTATTGGAACCAAGACTGAATACAGATGTTATTCCGACAACAGTTTATCACACGATGCAAAGTGTGGGTGTAGTTTTTTCAATGTTAAAAAATTAGCTCACATATTTTGTTTAATCTTCAAATAAATTTCTAGGTTTTTCAATGTTCAAAATTAGTTATTTCTAATGTTTTGCTTGTATGCTTCAGAGCCCATAGAGAACATGCAGCTGCGGTGGAGGGGGGGAATAATTGTTCTTCTAGATATCAATGGCGCCAGCTCTTGTTTTTAGAGACATTCATGTACTGTGTTCAACATTAAAAGAAGAAGGGAAAAAATTAATAAGCTTCCTCAATAATGATCACAGATAATTGATTAAACATTGACGGCCATCAAACCCAAACTAGGGCAAGGCATTGAACTTGAACTAGCTAGCATGTCTAATAAAGATGTAGGCATCAATTTGTCAACCGTTCTTTTTAAAAATTTTAATGTTTTTAGTTTTAAGTTATTTTATATTTTTTTTAATGTATTCATATTAAAAAAATTATTTAAATATATTTTTACTGCATTTCAGATGTGCTCCAAATAGTAGTATTAAGACTTCAATGTTAATTCTCGAGTACTATTCGCTGCCATTTGCTCAACAGGCTAAGAACACGGTATATATAGATGGGCATCTCATCGGGTTTGTAATGATAATAATAACAATAATATACTTTCAAAAGTTTTTCTAAAAAAAATATCAAAATAATTTTTTATTTTTAACATAAATATATATTAAAATCATTAAAAAACAGTGAATAAACATGGATTTATGTTAATTCCAGTGAAATATATATATTTTTTTAAAAAAATAGAATCTATCTCACTGTGAAACACTCGTATAATCAATCTGACAAAAAGAAAAGAAAAGATCATCACTCCTTGCATTACCGTTTATAGATTTTAGAGACAGGCAACAGCCCCCTAATATGGACACCCCTCCACATAGCGATTGACACCGCTTCAGCTATTCATCGTCTACTAAGGTTTTGCTATCTTACCTTGTCCACAAATTTGTGGTGCCATTTCCACCAGAAAGAGAGAGAGAGAGTAAATATCACGGGACATGGATGAATCGGCAAGACAAGCGGTCATAATCAATGGAAACGTTCAACAAAACTAATCTTGTGATCAAATCCTTTATGACGAAAGATACATTAATTTATCGTGTAGTGTTGTTCTTTCCACAGAAGAAGAACAAGAGCAAATGAGTGGTTCCTGCATCTTGTATTGTCTCCATGGATAAGCAAGGCTTGAAAGGGACTCATCCCTTTTCCATGGACATGGTGAAGCTAGCCTCCACTATTGATACAAGATGGTCCAGATCCTTCAAAAGTGACAGAAACTTGAATACATGCAAACCCTATCCAAAGGCGACTTTATGATGAACTGGATTTAGCTGGGGTGAAATCATGGGCCCGTCTTCAACACCATTCGATTTGTCAAGATGTTGATCTAATTTTGGAACAAGTGATGATCTTTCCTTCCCTTCCATCACCATTCAAAGTTTTCAAGCCAACAAATTAATTCAAAGCATAAATGCTCTCTCTTTTTTTGTTCATTAAAAAAAAGGAGCTCCTCGCATTGGTTTTCTAGATATCGGATGTGGGAATTAAAGGGATCGGCTACGTACCGAGGAACAATTTTTTGTGGCATTGGGGTGTCGGTGGTCCTTCCACCATGGAATTTTGGTGAATGTTTCTCAGTTCACTTCCGGATATGTTTGTTGGAAGAGGAAAGACACTTCCGGATATGTTTGTTGGAAGAGGAGGAAATATTATTTCTTAAAATATTTTTTATTTAAAAATAAATTAAAATAATATTTTTTTAAAATTTATTTTTAATATTAACATATATTAAAAAATAAAAAATAATAATTAATTAAAAAATAAAATAAAAAACTAAATTTTAATAAAAAAATATGTTAAACATCAATATCAAAGTGGCAATTTTTTACAATAGCCAATGAAAGTTCAAACTATATTTCCTAGGAATATTTTCTTTAACGCGGAATTTCCTATGGATTATTGCTCGATCAGCAGATTTTTGGAAAACATAGTTGTTGTTTCTTGATTTATGTTTACATATTTCCTTGATCTTCACCTCAAGTAATGTAAACTCTATTTATTTAAAAGTATAAAGGTGTGTTCGATAATTATTGTTTTGTTTTTTAAAAAAAATATTAAAATAATATGTTTTTTTTAAATATTTTTAATAACAACATATAAAAATAATTATAAAAAAAAATTATGGAAAGGTAGAAATTTAAAAAGATGTTTGAGAATATGGTAGTATTTGTTTTTTAAAGTAATTTTTATTAAAATATGTATCAAAATATTTTTAAATTTAAAAAGATGTTTGAGAATATGGTAGTATTTTTTTTAAAGTAATTTTTATTTAGAAAAATATCAAAATATTTTTTTATTTTTAAAATTACTTTTATTATTAGCAAATTAAAATAATTCAAAAATAAAAAAAAATTAAATAAAAAAATTTCATGATGAAAGTGTTTGTCATTAAAGCTCATCCAACTAATAATTTAATAAAATTTTAAAATATAATTTATATTATTTTTTAAATATTTATTAAAATATAAAAAAATGAATTGAATATAAAAGTTTTTTTCTTAAGTTATTTAGTGTATTTTTAAACCGTATATATATCAATTTTTATATTATCCATCTATTCTAAAAGAGAAACTTTTGTCAACTTTTGCCTTTCTCCGTAAATGATAAGGTAAGCTTATCTAGTTCTCCATGTCAAGATTGTTATTTATGAAATGACAATTCTACACTTCATATAAAATATAATGTTTTTAAAATCCATTACAGAGACCCTGAAAACTCGAATTTTTTTTTATGAAAACTCGATTTATTTATTTTTTATTGAAGATGGTTGTTATTTTTATTGGATCTTGGCTTGATTTCAGGCCACGATTTGTGTATGAAAATGAAGTGTGGTTGGAGTTTAGAGATTGTAGTGGTGGCGAAAATAAAAGAATAGATTAGAGGAGAGGGGAGCAGCATGGTGGAGAGAGACCGTCGAGGATTTGTGTGTAAAAGAGCTGAGAGGTGGAGGAGAAGGGCCATGGTGGAGAGACTATCGGTTTAAAGTGGTGGCTGGTCGCTCGGGTGTTTTTGTGGATTGTTGGTAAAGGCTACTATGGGGAGAGGATTTAGGTGGCGTGAGAAGGGCAATAGATGTTATGATTTGGTGATAAAAGAACTGTAATCGGTAGAGAATGTAGAGTGGTGGTGGTGGTGGAGCTGCTATGTGGCTGTTGTGGGAACTGCTGCCACGGTTGGAGTAGAGCAAGAGGATGAACCCGGGGAGAGGAAGCTTAGGTCTGGAATAACGAAGGATTGTCGAATTCCAGCTAGGAAACAGGTCTCTGCTGGATTTATTCGGGAGAGTGGCATATAGAGATAAGATCAGGTTATTATTATTATTATATTTTATTTTATTTTATCTAATATCTGTCAAATATAAAATATTAACTATTAATTTTTTTTTTTTTAGCTCTATACATTATTAAACACGAGTTGTAACTTCGACCACCGTCGTTCGTAAGACTCCCGAATGATAGATATCACGGTGGTATTAGAAGCAAGCCCCATCGTTCGAGTCTCGTGAGGCTTCGGGTTGATGGGATTCAAGGGAGATCTTGACCGAAAACAAAACTACGAAGATATGTTTAATTTTTAGTTTTATGCCCCTACGTTACTGGGAGATAGAATTTTAGTTATTCAAATATTATTTTTATATAATCAATTTTAATATAGTATAAAATCTTGTTTTTATAATTATGTGTGTTTTGATAAAAATATTAATACATATTGTATCAATAAAAAAATATCTTACCTTATTGATTCAAATTGAATTTTAAAATTTTAAAAGCATTTTATTTTTTCCAACCATCCCTCAATTTTAAATTTTTTTATTAACTAGAATTATATTTATAAAATTTTCTATGAAACTAAAATAAAAACTAATATAATTTTTTTCTCCATAAATCTTTAAAGAAATGTATTTTTATGTTACTTGATTAAAGGAGTTTAATTAAAAGATAAATTGAGGATCAAATAATAGGTAATTAAATTCCTATATTATCCTAAATTTCTCAATAACCTGAAAGACCTTGATGTGGGTTGATGTAGCATAAAAGATGATTTTCTTGATTTTTATATTCTTACATCCTATTAAAAAACATTAAATATATATCTTAAATTAAAGTTTAGGGTATAAACTCTCAATTGATTTAAGTAAACCGATGTTAAGAAATTATAATTCAAAATATTTATTTAAAATATTTCTCATATTTATTCAATATTTTAATTTTCCCCTTTTTATCTATATATGTGATAATAGGGACCCATTGTATGTATTTAATCTTAAGAGATATTAAAAATTTAATACGCCTAAATTGAATTCATTTTACTATTCTATATATTTTTATAATAATTGTTGATGATTCTAGAACAGCTAATGATATGATCATCTTGTTTCTTATTAGAATAACTACCATAAGGCTAGTAGTCAACAACAATCGATCGGCTGGATCCTCCTCCGAAAAGATTATTATCACTAGCTCAGGATCAAACAATTTCCTTTTCTTCCTCGATCGAATGGTTGTTGGATAAATGCTGATAATTTGTTTACTTTGCTCATTTCAAGCACTCGAGGTCGTATGTTTTAATTTCAATTGGGATGAATATGGTCAGTTCGGGACCTAAGAAATCATGGATTTTTTGGATTCCTGACGGGGCACATGAACCCACTTTTTATTTATTTATTCATTAAATAAAGATGTACAGAAACACAAAGTGAACTGAGATTAGTGGTGACATCAATGTTGGCTTTCCCTGTGGATGAGGCAAAAACCTCGAAACTTTACAAAGTAGATTATTTGTACTCTGACTCCGAAGTCGAAGAGTTTACATTTTTCCCAGGAACCCAGGAAAAAGAAGAGATTTTGACAGATGATGATGATGCGCGCTATCCTTTACTTACTAATCTTTATTTATTTATCATACCATGACATAAACAGATAGGACCGTGATAAGTAGAGGTAGCTCGACTTGATATTTACTGGCACACCATGTCTCCTCGTGGCATTCCCTGAACCTCATACTTTAGAATCTCAGCAAAAGCCAGGATGTGTGCTTATTGTAGCAGGACGCATGGCAGCCACCCTGAGTTTTTGTATGCCACTCTGTTATAGAGACCAAGTCCTCCTTCCTTCTCTCTACTTGTCTAAAAAGTAAAGTCCAAGCGTACTTAATCGTCTTGCTTTGTTCAGAAGGTGTCTGCTAGTGCTTGTGCTTCTTAGGATCAGCAATAGGATGATTACTTCTTTCAGGGATTTAAGGGACTGTTAGGTATGTGGGTCTCTAAAATCTTCTTTTCTATTCTTGTGTCTCTCTCATTTTTCATTAATGCTTTTAGCTGGAAGTAGATTTTGTTTGGATTTTGATGGTCTTTTCAAGGATATCTCTCCAAATCTTTCATACATTTACCAGAGACTTCTTGTTTTGAGATGATGGTTTTGTGATTTTAAACTCCTCTTTTGTTGATGTATTTTTCTAATCTTGCAGATGAAATAAAAATCATTTATCAGTTCTTATATTATTCCTTTGCCTTTTATTCTGGACGAAAGTTTTATTCTTTTGTTTTCCGAGATTCAATCATATGTTGTATGTTCTTTGTATGCCAGGTAATGCTGGATTCATCCTATTAGGGTTTTTTTTCTTGGAAGTGAAGATGTTTTAGTCCTTACTAATTACAACTACTATATTACTCGATCTTCTTTACCCCCTATACTCTAGGCAATGCTGGATTCATCCTATGATTGTTTAACTCTTGAAGGAAAGAACCATTGTTTTCATGTGGATAAGTAATTAATCATTACTGTTCGCAGTTCCATGTCCTTCAAGAGGCCGGTAACATTTTTGGTTAAGCTGTGAAGACATGGTTCTTCTTTCCTATGCTTGATTAATGTTACAATTGATGTCTTATAAATGAATGATTTAGCAGAATGGTCACCGTCAAACAAGCACATTACAATGTTATTTGGAATGCTTATGCATCATGGTGCCTGGCAGCATACGGTTTCAGACTTTTTTATCATATGATTCCAAATAAATGGCTATAAACATGGGACCTGTGAATCTTTTCGCTGGGAAAGATTACTGGAGGAAGAGTTAGTCTTATCTTCACTTGTAGAGCCTTGAGGAGGGTTTGGTAGGGCCATGACCCCCATTTTCAAAAACTCTCCTTTTCCTCTGAACCCCTTGTGAAATTTCCCCATCTCCGCTGCTTGTTACCCTCTGTTTGGTTAAGTTAGCGATTGCACGCAAAAAAAAGAAGGTCTGAACTAGTTTCCACCAACTTTTCCAGAAAATTATATATTATCTTCATCATGTGGTCATTGCCTCTTGACAGTCTACATTAATATATATTGACTTTATTGTTTTGTGTAGACAGATTTTCATGTTTTGGATCATGGAGAGGTCTGACCTGGACCTCGTTGGCATTTCAGGATTGCCCACAGAAGATTTCATCCAGCAAAGATGGATTCAAATGATAAAAACATAGAACCTGTAATTGATTTAGGATTTTCCCTGGGTTATTCCAATCAGTGCATTCAGAGAAGATTGAAGAATGATTCAGGTGCAGGTGCAAATGCAGCTTCAAGTGTAGACATGACATTTGTGGCCACCAATGCCCTGTCTGAACTAGTTTGGTCTCCAAAGAAAGGTTTGAGTCTTAAATGCGCTGATGGAACCTTCCCTGACAAAAAACCCTCTCTGTTATGGGGTGCAGGACCAAGTGATATGGTAATTGGATCAAAAGCTGACAAAGCTATCGGCAAAAAAAATTTCATGGCTCTGGAAGAATCTGACGAGAGTGAAGTTGCTGGAAGAGACATCCCCACAAAGTTCGTTACAAGTGATACAGGCCTATTTCCGTTGTTAAGTGAATCAAGGCATAAAGTCAAAATAGGTAATTATGAATTCCTTGCAGGCACAGTGTATTATGTATTGGTGAATGTCAACCTATAGAAATTCCTATCCAGTACATGATGAAACCTGTCTTATGTTACTGAAAATCTCTCATTTGGCAGCAACTGATGATCTCGAGGAGGAAATGAAAACAGCAGTTGGGCTACCTTTTCTGCAGAAAATGGATGATGCAAGAAACAATAAAGCAGAAGATATTTATGATCCGATCAATCTTCAAGTAGATGAAATATCTAGGACCTGGGAAACCAAATTTCCAAGTTTGTCAGGTGATTGATTTGATCTTCTCAACTTAGTTTAGCTCCTACCTTTCTAAAATACACATCCACATGATATTGTTTTAAAGAACTTCTATAGCCGTTGAAACTGGAGTCCTAAAAGCACCGGATTATTAGAAATTACTTTGTTGTACTGTTCTGCATATTTTGTTTAAATAAATAACCTATACTTGATGTGAGAGACAAAAAGATTCTACACAGTCCCTAATTGAATTGCAGCCGGAGCATCAAACATTTTATTCAAATTCTCTTCAGAGCTGTTCATCGATCTGCTTCCTTGTTATTTTATCAATATATTAGTTCTTTTTAGGTGCCTGAAGAAACTAGTTGTTCATGCTTCGATATTCTCATTCCTAACAGGACACTGATTTTTTCATTTTTCAATTTAAATAGATGAAACGAAACTGGATGTGGCACAAAATGGCCCAACTTCCAAGGAACCTACTGTCAGGATTGGATGTGTTGGTGATGCAAGTCACACATTACAGACAGAAATTGTTTCGGCCTCACAAGTTTGCTCTGTGGAAGAATGTGATTCTTATGACACTAATATGCAGAAAGCACCATCAGTAGGAAGAGAACATTTTGAATCACCTTCATGCATGGAAAAAGAGAGAGAGAATAATATGGAGACTGGTCCCTACATCTGTCCTCTGGAAAAACTGGAGTCAACTGCAGAGAACGATTTTAAAACTCCTCATAGTGAAAATGTCTGTGATGTGGCAACTGAGATTGTAGGATCACGAACTGCCAAGGAAGTCCGGAGTAGCTCTCAGCAGGATGATGAGATACTTCCTAAAGACAATGATTGTGCCATTAAACAGTCTCCCACACACAGCAGAACCCGGAGGTATCAAATGAAAGGCAAGGCTAAGGCTTTATCTGATGGAAATTTAAATGAAAGAATGCTGGACATGGATGATGACAGCCATGAAAGTGTTGAAAGTTGCAACAGTGTTGGGTTATTTTCTACTGGCAAAAGGCAACGGAACTTTGATCCACATTCGTATGTTGGGAGCAAAAGTATCAAAACTAAAGTTCAAGAAAGTCCCGGTTCCTCTTCATTTGTTAAACATGATAGTTCATTCATGAATTGGATCTCAAACATGATGAAGGGGTTCTTAAAATCAGATGAAGATGAGGCACCTTCTCTTGCTCTTACCCTTGCAAATCATAAGCATGGACACGGGGATCGTGATAAGAATCTCATTTCATGTAACAGAAATCAAGATCAAGGGTGCAAAACTACGGGATTTCATTCGCTTTTTCAGTCATTGTATTGTCCCAAGACAAAGGCTCAAGAAACTGTCGCTTTGAATGCCAATACTCAAACGGAAGGATCTAAAGAACTTGGGCTGGACAACAAGATCTGTGACTCTAATGGTACTTCAATAGCCTGTCATATGGTGACTGACAATGTGTACAAACGGTTTCTTCAACCAAATGAGAAGTTAAATGAGTCGACATCTGGAAATGGTACAGCTCCACCAGCCTTGACCAAACTTCTATCCACCAATATTGCTTCTGGTCAGGAGATTGGCGGGAGTAACTCTGCAGAGAAAAAAATTTCATGCAGCATGGCAACTGATAAGGAGAAAGATGGGACAAGCTCCAATTCCTCTCCGGGTAAACGTAAGAGGAATGATGATGAACAGCCATCTGAAGGCAAGGCCACAAATACTTCCAGGTACAAAAGTGACCCACTCACAAGCTTGTGGATAACTCGGCTTTCTCCAAAAACTTCTGTTCCATTGTCAAACCAGGATCTTTGCCGCAGAAGAACTGGCAAAGCTCTTGATGGCTTTGATGATTTCATAAGCCCAAAGGCTCAGTGGCAGAATCATCCTTCTTCTTACCAAGATAAAAAAATTGTGGGGGCTAGGGAGGAGGAGCACTTCACTGAGGACCCGGTATGCATGCTAAATTGTGCCAACAGTACTGAAGTTTCATTTAGCATAACTAAAGTAAATGGACACCATGATGAGAAGTCCATGTGTAAAATGAACTCTACCTTGCCTTTTTCAAGATTCAGAAATTCAGAGGCGATGGCTTCTGTCTTTGCAAGGAGATTGGATGCCCTCAAGCACATCATGCCATCATACGGGACAGATGATTCTTCTTATGGAAACCTGGCATGTTTCTTTTGTGGCATTAAAGGTCACCATGTGCGAGATTGTCCAGAGATAATAGATAGTGAGCTTGCAGATATTCTAAGAAATGCTAACTCATTTAATGGAGCAAAAGAATTTCCCTCTGTGTGCATAAGATGTTTCCAGTCAAATCACTGGGCTGTTGCATGTCCTGGTGCCTCTTCAAGAACAAGACATCAAGCAGAATATGGCGCTTCTCTGGTCCATGAATCCAGTCCTTGTAAAATTCTGCTCAATCCAAGAAATGAAGACGATGCAAAGCATTCAGATGGCAAGGATAGTCAATTGCAAGCTGCTGATGCACCTACAGTTCGCAATGGGAAATTGCATGAAGCTTCTGCCTCTGGGGAAATGAATATGAATATGAAACCGTTTGAGAGAGACACTGCTTCAAGTTCTGGGGAAAAGAAGTTGAAAGAAAACCAGGTCATGCCTTTGAGCAATTTTATCAATAGCCAGATACCGGACGTACCGAAGGGAATTTTTGATGCAGTAAAAAGGCTCCGTTTATCTCGAACAATTATTCTCAAGTAAGTAGATCATTCCAGCTAAACTGTCATCTTCACTGCTCTGAGATCTTTCCTATAAACTGCCATGCAATAACTGAAGACATTTTAGCACTCGGATATCTGCACCCCTCTAATTGTTTGAGACATCATAAACAGACAGATAAATTGCAGGTTGTTTTCAACCATATGGTTGAGCTTTTGTTTAGTTTAATCTGAAGTGTGGCGTGTTTATACCTGTAATAGGCAGTGGTTGTTCATCACGGCATCTTGTTTACTGTTGGATTTGGGAAGACATGCTTCCAGTTTCCTGCATCTGATTTATTTTCTTAACTAGATAAACCAAGTCCGAGGTGGGAATTTGTTTGATTGCGTAGAAAATCTAATAAACTTCTGGTAAGGACATTAAAGCCTCATTTTCCTAAACATGAACCAAGTATGACAGATTTGAACCAGAAAATTCGTGAGCTGCTAATTTTGAAATGCATTGGCTTGAACATCTGGCTTAATATTGGTCTGTCCATGCTTATTCTATCAAATCATCTTCTGTTACTTTATCCTCATATTACTTTGGCTTGTGATTTTGGCATTTGCCTCCCACCTCGAAGTCAGTTCTTTTTTATTTTTCTTTTACATATCTTACAAGCTTGTTTCTGCAACATGGTTTTATGGTAGAGAGTCTGGCCTTGTGGCAAGAAGATGGCATTTGGATAAACATGTTACCTTCTGATGCAGATCAAATTGTAATCTGTCTGTAGTGTTCAGGACCACTGAAGGATGACCTTTTTTCTTCTTCTCCATAACTTTGAAATTTTTTGAACTTGTAGTGAAATCTGAGTGACCTTCTAGGAAAATTAATTCCAAGGAAACATGTGGTGTGGAGCTCAGGTTAGTGACTTTGAGAATCTTATGATAGAAGAATAATGAGGTGACATATTTTACAACTTATGCAAGAAGGTCCAGGATCAGAACCAATAACTTAAATGTATCAGATATTGCATTGGTGAAGCATAAGGAAGAAAAAAGAGAAATGATTGTGGCTGAAGAAAAGAGAGTGTCAGAAGAAAAGGAAGGATTGCAAGACATAGATTGAGAGTACCAGCCTGCATAAATCGTCAGTTATTCTACCACAGTACTGTTTTTCATGGTTTGAATTGCTCGGATAGCTCTCTGCATATGGCTCAAATTAATGTACTTCATAGTCAATATCATGGGGGGTAAATTTTAGTAGCTCTTTTTTCATCTTCTGATGGCATACCTCCATGCAAAATTTGAACAAAGAGGAGTAAATGTGTGATAATGTGTTTGTAGCTTTTTTATGATAACTGCACAATTACATCAGCTACACTGCAATTGACGGCAATCGCTTGTCATTCTAGAAAACTCAATTCCAAGATAATTATAAATCTAGTCCTGCTTTCTCATTCATGATTTTCTCCCTTGAAAGTCCTACTTATCAACACCAATATGAAAAAAAAACTTGAAACTACTTTCGAGGAATAACCTTGGTTTTATCTGTAACATTCATCAAAGCTTGAGTTTTTCTTTTCTAGAAATTATTGTCGTAAAAGTTTTTATCTTTTTATTGATGTTTTCTATGTTGCATGCTTTGGCACAAGATGGTTGAATTCTCATACACCATCATCACATCTTGATGGCTTTTTCCTGCGCTTGCGGCTTGGGAAGTGGGAACAGGGACTGGGGGAAGCTGGGTATCATGTAGCCTGCATTACTGGTAAGCCAAAATTGTTTACCCTGTCTCCTATCTATGATAGATGGATGAGTTGCATTGTTGTCATTAATTAGCTTCCTTTTCTGGTGACGACTCACCCCCCCACCTTTTTGCTCTGTTCTTTCTTTTGATCATACAGGAGTTCAAAGTCAGAGTTCAAAACAAAAGTTCAAAAATTATATTGCTGTAATTGTAGGTGGCGTTAAATGTTTAGTTGAGAGTCAATATATCTCCAACCACGATTTCACCGAGGTAAAAGCCCGACTCTGAAACCGAATTCATGTTTTATATAATCTAGCAATTTAAATTTCAATCTTTGATCTATAGATTTCCAGCTGAATCTGCGAGCATGATATCTTTATTCATGGACTGCATATAATTAATCTGGCTATTTATAGCCTTTTTTCCCTTGTTGAATCATGTTTGTATGTTTTGAATGCACGATTGTTTGGCCTCGGTCAAGTAGCCCTTTTCTCATCCAAGGATCACGACTCGTCAGAATATGGTCTTATGATCTTTCTTCAATATTTGCCTATTTTACACACCATATATTGATTCATGTTGCATTGAAGTTTCCTTCATTGATGATTTATATGACTGAATCTGCATTTGCTTAATGGAGTCTCTTTATGAAGAAAGTTTGAGCTTTCAGTGTTATGTTACTACATACTCTCACCTAGGTAAAGTAGTCTGTCACCTTCAAAATCATCTACGAACCCTTCAAACACAGCAAACCTGTTGTTTGTTGGTAGAGGAAGTCAATGACTCTGAGTTTCGTAATATATTATCATATATATAATGACTATGTAAGAATGGACCTTAAAGTTCCACGTTCATTTAAAAATGGTGGAAATATTATCCTTACTTTTTGTAGAAATCGCCGGGTTGGGAGACAGTTCATGCATGTTACCTTGTACCTGGGAAAGAAAGGGATCCTACTCACATGTTGCTCTCATTTTTTTACGTATTTTGCAGGGTGAGCTAATGGCATGGTGGTGTGCAACCTTGAAGGATGGTGGCAAGACACCCTCCGAAGAAGATTTAAGATTGAAAGTTGAAGAGATGAAAATGTTAGGGTTTTAGGCAGAAATAGATTCAGGTGTCGCTTGCAAAAATACATAAAGTGAGAACAAAGCGCTTGACTAAGCCTCTGCATATATAGTTTTGATTTGTCATTTCTATTGCTTCTCATCTGTCCCTCTAAACATGACACCAACGTCCAATTTCAAGTACGTTTGGCATGGAGGAATGGCCAGGGAGAGAAAGCTTACCTCGATATTTGTGCTGATAGAACCATAGATTCTTTTGTTGTTACTGTGTGTGTTTTTTTTAATTAAGATTGATATATAACATGATATGTTTACCCTCAGTGACGACAAATACCCCTGTGACTGTCGTGTCAAAGACAGTGATTTGCAGACCAAGAACATCATGATATAATTTCTACCATTAATACAAAAGCAGGTAAAAGTGAAACATACACATCAGCTGTTAATATTAAGAATATTTTAATGCTAAGTTGACGTAATGACATGTGAGATGCTTTGGGACTGTGTTATAGATATTTTTTAAAATATTTTTTATTTAAAAATGTATTAAAATAATATTTTTTTATTTTTTTAAAATTATTTTTAAATCAGTTTATTAAAATATCCTAGAATATTAAAAAATTAATTTAAAGTAAAAAGTTAAAAAAATTAAAAAAAATTAAAATATTTTTAAAATATAAAAATAAACAGCATCTTAAATAGTGTAAAGTGATTTCCGGCTGTGTATTTTACATGGAAGCTGATCCCTGACTCAACCACACTATTATTATTGATTAAAGTTATATATGCTTTTAATATAAAGCAGGACGGCGCACTGCACCCATAACGTAAATCAAGTGAAAACCACGTCGTCGGTCTCAAAAGCAGCTGTTTTTCCAGCCCCACTATTTTACTTTATTTTTTGGGATTGGACCCTTTAACTTTTTTAGTCTTAGTTTTGGCTCAAGAATTTATTTTGTACCTTTTCAATACATGAATTTGAGTGAGGAGAGAAGCTCGTCAATGAACGGTAAAGAAAAAAGAAAAATATTAATTGTCCACATTCCGATAAAAAAAATATTAATCTTAATATCAACATATTTTATTGTGTTTTTAAGCTTTTATGAGGCCTTGAAAAGTAGGGTGGGTTGAAAAAAATATATATTCTAGTTTGATTTTGTTTTTAGATAAATTTAGAGGTATTTTAAGTTAAAGATTAATTCATTAACATTATAAGAATATTTATAATGTATTTTTAGATTAAATATATTTAAAAATAATTTTTTAAATTAAACAAACTCTACCATCTCTCCATTATTCAAAAACTAGCTAAAATAAAAAAACCATCAATTATCAAACCTGTGAATAATTTAGCTAAATATATTTAATCTAAAAATACATTATAAATATTCTTATAATGTTAATGAATAAAAATTAGCTAGAATAATTTTTTAAATAAGGAGTTGTATACTTTTATTTTTTTTATTTAAAAAAAAGGCCAACATAAATTCGTTTGTAAATCAAACCTATGAATATTTATAAGTACTATTGATTTATTTAATTCAATATACATCAACTGTTATGTTTATAATACAAAATTTTATTCTAGCTAATTTTTATTCTTTTAAGAAATAGCTAGATTTTTATATGAACTGAGATGTTGCACAGGTAAATAGGCTACTTACAAACGAAGATAGATGGGATCTTTCCTAAAAGAACCATCAATTATCAATGTATAGAATATTATTCCAACGGTCCCAGATGAATCGCATCCATCATCCACTTAGGCTTTTACTTTAATTATCTGTGCATGCAGGCCCCCCACCCTTAAAATGTTTTTAAACCCCTGAAAAATATGCTTATTTAATTTTATACCCATTTATTTAAGTTTAATTATATTTTCATCTTTTTTTTATTTTCATACTGACCCTTACTCTGACTCGCTCCTAGTGGGATGATATTGCCCTTTTTTGTTTTTACTATATGTTGTACCAATATATTTTACACAAACTCCTTTTTCTTAGATCTTACTCTACACCTCCAAATAATCTATAGAACTCAATCAATCGCACACTGAGTTCAAGTGTTAGTAAGTTTATTAAGATACCAGACTTAATTATATTAAATTTAACTATATATTAAAACTAAATACTTAGAGATCTAATGAGATGTCAAATCTAATTCTATTAGATTCTACTATACATTAAACTTAAGCATTCATGAGTCTGCTAAGATACTAGACCCAACATCCAAACTATATAATAGGACTTAATGTGAATTGATTTATTTAATAATTTTAAAGGAAACCTAGTTGCTGTATTTTATTTAAAAAATCAATATAAAATGATAAAATTATGAAGAAAATCAATAAGGCAAAAAAATAAAAGAGGACATCGGGTCACATAAGTTTTTTAAACTCATAACTATAGTTATTAAATTGAAAATATTGCACATAAAAAAATATAAAACTTAATCCCCAATAAATCTAACATCCAATGATGAATTATTATTATCATTATTATTATTTTCATCTTTATTATTATTATTATTATTACAACTATCATTATCACTATTATTATTAATAAGAAATTTCATCATCATTATTATTGTCATCATTATTATTAGTATTATTATCATGATCGTTGTCACTATCATTATTGATAAATAATATCATTATTGTTATTATAATCATTATTATTATTGTTATCATGACCACTATCACTAATATATTGTTGTTGTTATCGTCATCTATTACTATTATTAGCATTGTTATTGTTATTTATTATTGTTGTTATTATTATCGATAACATTATTATTATTTTGAGTTTTTGATATTATTATTACAATTATTACTATTATTATTATCATCATCATTGATATCATAACTACCACAATCATCATAATAAACTACTACTATTATTATTGGAGGCTGTGATGTTATTATCATTATTATTAATAATACCCTACTAATGTTGTCATTTGTTATTATATTTTCTTATGCTATTGCTATTACCATTATAGTTACTATTAGTAATATTAATATTGTTATTATCACAATTATTATTAATAATAATGTTATTATCACAATATTACTCTCAATGCCACTATTATTATCATAAAAACTACTATTATTACTACAGTTATTATCACTAGTAGCAATATTATTGGTATTATTATTGGTTTCATTATTACTATTACTATTAATAATATTATTATTTTAGTCGTCGTTGTCATCGTTGTGCTATCACAATTATTATCATCATCACCACTATTATTACCATAATAAACAACTATTAATATCATTATTATTAATATTATTATCACCATTAACAATATTATTAGTATCATTATTGTTGTTGTTGTTGTTGTTGTTACAATCATGGTAATTACCACTATTATTATTACTACTACCACCACAACTATTATTACTACTATAACAAAAATCATAAACTTGATTTAAAAAATAAATTAAAAATCATAAAAAATTTAGGATAAAGGAAACAAATAAAATAGATCAAATTGAAAATAATATTATTATCATTGAAAAAAATCATAATCTTGATTTGAAGGATAAAATTAAAAGCTATAAAAACCTCAACAAAAAAGCCAATGAAAAAAAATCAAAAGCAAAAGGACCAAATAAAAAAAAATATTATATATACAAATTAGAATCAAAGAAATAAATTGAAAGAAAATAAAACTCTAACAAAAAAGAAAAGGACCAAAATTAAAAATCAAAATTAAAAGGATAGATTTTGAAACACAAACAACAAATAGCTCAACAAAATAAAAGGTAAAAAAATAAAATAAAAAGAATAAGGATCAAATCTGATAAATAAAAAATTTAAAGAGGATGCGATTGCAAAAAAAAAAAAAAGAGAAATAAATCAAAATAAAACAAATATATATTAAATAATCATGAAAAAAAATCAAAAGAAAATATACTCTGAATAACTAATATGAAAATGCAAGGGGCCAGGCATAATTTTTTCGGAGGAAAGAGAGAGAGAGAGAGAGAGAAAAAAAAAGTTGGCGACTCATCGTATGTCCGCCGAGTATATCGTATGTCCGCCGAGTATATGCATTTCACATGGATGAAGATGAAGACAAGATAAATCTAATGGTGCAATATAATCTATAATCAATTTTTTTTAATCATTGTCTGCAACCGCATGCATTGCTGGAAAGAGGTTAACATGCTCACATGTCAGCTTTTAACTCTTTGTTTTTTTTAAACACCATCCTACCGTTAGAACCCGATAATTATTAGGGGAAAAAAATTACAATTATAAATTAGCCCCTGAAAATCAAGCTTAAAAAAATTTGAATCCAAAAGTGATAGAATCATTATACTATAACTAAAAATACAAAATGCCAAAAAAACCATAAGCCACAGTTAACTGTACACAAGATAAACTTGAATAACTAATATGAAAATGTACACAATATTAATGAAAAAAATCAAGAACCCCCTTAACGATCGACAAATGACAAATGAATTAAAAAAAAAAAGATCATTTTTATCTCTGAAAAAGCATTTTAATGAGAATTTTTTAAGAATAAAGTTATCAATTCATTATTTTAATCCACGATAAACAAAGACAGGTGTATAATAACAATTCAAAATGCTCTAGCTTTTGTTTTAATTAATAAAACGTTCTTTTTTCTTCTTCTTTTTTTGTCATGTGGGAATCGATAAGCGTATAAAAATTTATCCTTTATTTACAAAGACCCACAAAGTCACATGCTCGTTTTATCATCAGATGAGCTCCATCTGTAATCGGAAAAATCATCTAAAGCCCGGCAAACTATATCAAATCTGCAGTGAAGCCTCCTCTAAGCTTCAACAAGATGCTGTCAAGTAAGCCTTCTTTTTTCTTGCTCTGCGTAATCTCTCTGTCTGATCGTTTTCTAGTAAGAAAATAAGCTTTGACGACAGTTCCTTCCTTTCTTTTAGATAATAATAACGGCCATGCCAAATTGACAGGAGTTCTTGCTGCTTCCTTAGTGGGTGTCGTCGGTGCCGCTGCTGCGACTCACCACTATTGGAGAAAACCAAAGGCTAAAAGAGACCACCACATCATTCCAGGCTTAGTCAGGACAGAATCTGGCCGTTTGGGAAACCTTGAAAGATTCTCCGATTATGTTGGTAAATTAATTTAAGTAATTATAAACTGCTTCAGCTGTATTACTTTTTCTTGACAAATAATGTTTTTTTCTCAAGAATCAAGAAAGAAGAAATTTTACCCATTTTTCACTTTTCTGGTCTTTGTAGCTAGGCAGATGGGATTTGCAGATGCAGATGAGTGTCCACGGCTATGCAAACTGGCTTATGATTATCTGAAAAGATCTGAAGGGTGTGAGAAGAACATCTATGATTTTTTTGCTAATCTACCTGAGTTTGAATCTCTGTACGTGAAGCTGATGGAGGAATTTGAAAAATGCATCCTCACTTATTTTGCGTTTCATTGGAGCAGAGCATCCCTGTTTATCAGTCAGGTTTATCATCAATTTTCAGAACCAAATAATAAAAAGAAAAGGAACAGTACCTTTTATTTTCTGTTTTCTGTTTTTGTTGACTTATGCTCTTCACTCTAATTTTCTGCATGGATGGCAGGTTATGGATGTTGAATCCGTGAGGAAACCAAAGCTCAAAGGGTTTGACGACAATGACTTGTAATATTATATTACCTGGCCTCATTTTTTTTATTTTTCAATTCACCGACTTCCACTTGGCCTCATTTTTCTCTTTTATGAAGGGCCAGAGGTGCCGTGGTTTTTCACTTATACCACACCAAACTTTATGGTTTTTGGAATCGCATGGATACTTTATATTATCATATGGTTTTAATTTTTTTGGGTTTTGGCAGAAAACAAAGATTTGAGAGGGTGACCGAGAACTTGAAGGTTACAAGGGCATTTTCTACTCGAGTTGAGGAATTGAAAGCAATCGGCGCCCAAGGGGGATCAGATTGTACGGAGGTCATGGTGCCGGTGGCGCTTAGCGAGAGAAGTCCGGTGCTGCTACTTATGGGTGGTGGAATGGGGGCTGGCAAGAGCACTGTCACCAAAGATATTCTCAAAGAGTACGGATTTATCAAATTTTACCTCGAAAACATTAAAAATAACTTTTATATATATATATGAAATGCATGAAAGAAGAGTATCAGCTACCCAAAAAAACGAAAGAAGACTTCAAGAGTAATAGGGGTTGAACATGGGTTTTTTTTTTAAAAATTAATGTAATTTACTAAAAGTTTTGGGACAATAATATATATTAAAAAATGATTTGGAAATTAATACAATTCGAATATAATTGCATTTGAGAATATTATTTTTGTATACAACCACTATTTGATTAACAAATTAATTAACCTTAATAAAAATCAATATAAATCTATATACAAAATTTCTTAATGAGACAATTCTAACTATATCTTAGAAGAATACAAAATGATATTGTAATTAATCCTAAACTAATATAAGAAAAAACCTAATAAATTATAATAATGTTGGTGTTCTTTCAATGTGATTAAAATCATCTCTCAAGATCTTTCTAGTGATGTTGATATTAAGTGTGTAGAAAATAAAACTTTAAAATATCTCCAATGACTCATGTTTTCTTGGACATTGGATTTTAAATTTTATTTATTGGTTATTATATTTTTATAAAAATTTAAGTTGATTTTTTATACATTTTAATTAAATCAAAAGATATAAATTTTAATACAATTACTATTTCTAACAGCAGCTATGTCAAACGCTATTTTCAAAGTGATTGTGCTATTTTTCTTTTCCTTTTTTTTTTTTTTTTACTTATATTGCTTTCTTGGAATTTTTATCAAGTTGTGTTAGAATTATATGATACCCCTTCTAAAATGCCAATTATCTTGTCGAAAGAAAATTTAATTTACGGAATTCGATGAACAATGGGGCACGGAGTAAAAGATTTTGCTTTGGAAAATAGTGCATGCCTTGTGATTGTGATTTGAAGGGACACTGATCAATAAATAATTGGGCAGACCGTTCTGGTCAGGAGCAAGGGCAAAGGCGGTTGTGATAGATGCTGATGCATTCAAAGAGCCGGATGTCATCTACCAATCATCAACAGATGCGGCATCATCACTCCTCGTAACTGCCCTGAATGAAGGACGGGATGTAATCATGGATGGCACCCTTTCATGGGAGCCTCTCGTGGAGCAAACAATTGCCATGGCTCGTAATGTGCACAAATGTCGTTACCGAATGGGACCAGGGTACCAGGTTGCTGGGGATGGGACCGTTGATGAAAATTACTGGGAAATGGTAGAGCAAGAGGAAGAAGACCAGCGATTAAACAACGAGAAAGGAGAATTAACTGGCAGGAAACCATACAGAATAGAGCTGGTTGGAGTTGTCTGTGACCCTTATCTAGCTGTTGTTAGAGGCATCAGGTAACAATCGAAACATGATAAAACTAGCTGTGTAGTAATCAACATCATTCTCGTTTATTGTCGTACGGTACATGTATGATAGTAATTGAAGAGGGTATGTTTTTCTGGGATTTTGAACAGGAGAGCCATAACGACAAGAGGGGTAGTGAGGGTGGATTGCCAGTTAAAGTCCCACAAGAGATTCGCCAGCGCCTTTGAAAGATACTGCCACCTTGTTGATAATGCCAGGCTTTATTGCACCAGTTCAGTCGGAGCACCGCCGAGTGTAAGTACGACTCTTCCATCAGGTTTATCCGCCATGCATCCCGTGCTTCCTATCTTCTTTCTCGTAGTGACTGGCGCGCACAAATGCACACCGCCTCAAATTTCATGACAGTGTTTGTCAAGCATGAACGTGGCCCCTCTGAAACAACACATCGATTAGGGAAGAGAGTCTGCCAACCACCCTTGAATTTTTGTCGGGCCACCATGCTATTTGAGGCGCTATCTATCGATTGACATGCCAAGTGTCGAATTCTATTGAAATAAATTAGACCCATCACCCAGCTGTCAGTTCTAAGAAACTAGTAAGTTTGAGCTTGGAAGCCGAGGTTGCGGTCCCCTCGATGCACACTATTCTGTATCTCGAGGCCTCGACAAGAAATGGACCTCGAACACGCTGCATTATGTACGAAAATTAGCCCCGCCTTCCGTACCTCGTAGCTCAGAACTAGAAGCAGTTATCTTAGTTCTTGCCTGTAGATTTCCGTACTGCTCTCGATTCAAAAGACAAGTAGGGGTTGCATTTTTCTTGTACACTGACTTTTTGATTGGCACAAAATGAATTCAGCTGATAGCATGGAAAGATGGGGACGAGACGCTCCTGACTGATCCAGAGGGGTACAGATGCTTGACAAATGTAAGCAATTTGAGGGCTGAAGCAGAATCCATCTACGAGCTTTACACAGACCCAAGCCCTATTTTCGAGCCGGGCTCTTTTTGGAAAGACATCGTCATGGATCCTTCCAGGCCCACTGTTCAATCGGAGCTCAAAACCATTATTCTAAACATCGAAACAGTCATGGATATGTTGCCTGAAAGATGATGATGCTACGCTATTAAACTTTGAATTATTTTACTCTTTTCGTGAAATTTAACCTGTGTTTATATGAGTTTTAAAAGTATATTTATTTATTTATTTATTTTCTGGTACTAATGATGTTAAAAATTTTAAATATATATTTTTAAATAAAAAACATTTTTAAAAATATTAACCAAACCAATACCAAATATTCACTAAAACAAATAATTCCGTTTCAAATAATTACATTGAAATTATTTCTCCTAAAAAAATTAAGCAATTCCATACCCAAATAACACCAGGTAAACCCTCACTTTAGAAGTCCTGTCATTCTATCCACACAAACAGCTTTCACTTGTCGGTCTTTTTAACTCTTTTTAACTGTCTTCTTCATCAGATGATGGCTCGTTTGAAAATATAATTATGGTTATTTTTTAAATAATTTTTTATATTAAAATATATATTAATAATATTTTTTTAAAAATTATTTTTATATCAACATATCAATTTTAAAACATTAAAAAAATATTAATTTAAAATTAATAAAATATAAAAAAATTAATTTTTTTTAAAAATATTTTTAACATAGAATATATTGAGTTTCTTTACTGCCTTTTTCGCAGGAGTCTTACTTTTAGCCGTAACAACAGCTTTCTTTGCCAGGCCTTCGCAGCCTTTTCCGGCTTAGGCTTTAGCCTCGGCCTTGGGATTCGCTGGAGCCGCTTTCTTCACAGAAGCAGCATCCTTAGCCCTTGAGTAATAGACAATATACTACTTAGATGATCCGCGTATTACTGTAGATTAATTTTTTTTATATATAAAATATTTTAAAAAAATTAAAATATAAAAATATTAGGTTTTTTTTTTAAACTATACTCAGGAATCTTGGATTTGATATTTATAATATAAATAATAACATTAAATTTATATGATCTAATTTTAAATGAGTTTGGCTGCAAGACAAAATTTAATAGTTTTGGATATGAGTCTAGCTAAAGGTTGTATTATAAAAATATAATAATTAAATAAATTAATTAAAAAAATATGAAAAAAAAATCCAACATAAAAAAATAATTAAAAAAAATGAAAAAAATGAAAAGTGCAATTGTCAGTTTTGCTGTTCAGGTCAAGGCGATTTCAATTGAGTAAATTTTGTGGTTGGCTTAGCTTCCTTAAGGGGCCACTTTCGTATCATATGAAAATTGCAAATGATAAATGGGCTCTGTTCTGAATTTGAAGGCAATAAATGTCTAATCCTCAATGTCCTTGCATGACATGTAATTATGTGCATGTGTAGGGTTTACATCGCCCTTCTTGTCATGAATAAATAACTAAGGTTCCGTTTTTGTACCTGTTTATGTGTTTATAGTGTGAAACATATGGTTAAATATGTTGTAATACATTAAATTATGTTTTATATTGTGAAGTTTATTAAAAAATTAAATTTAAAATATAATTTTTATGAAATAGTTTTTATATATTTTTTTAACTGAATTTTGTAAAATTTTGTTTGTTTTTACATTTCAAACATTTTTTTTTAAATTTGATTTTTAATTTTTTTCTTTATTTTAAATTAATATTTTTTTATTTTCAGATCATTTTGATGTGTTAATATCAAAATTAATTTTTTAAAAATAAAAAATTATTTTAATATATTTTCAAGTAAAAAATATTTTTAAAAAGTAACAATAACTAAATATTTTATATATGTTTTTTGCTGCATATAAACTTCAATCATAATTTTTACTAAATACATATTTAAATTTAACTAACCACACTTAACCATAATTTTTTTACATTTATTTTTTTAAATCATAACAGTAAAAATTATTTAAAAAACAAAATCACTTTAAAAACTCACAAATATCCTTAATGTTTTCAAATATGTTTGCAAGAACTTACGGTGGTTGTTGATGAAACTTCTACGTATTCCGCCTCAAATCTTTTTTTTAAAAAAAAAACACAAGAAAAATATTTTTAATAAAAATTAATGGATAAAAAAAGAAGAAGAAGTGAAATACGATCGGCAGGCCAGACACCGGGAGCTTCAGGATCATCTTCGGTGACTTCATTTCCAGTGTAATACCCCTCTCCTTATAGTCTTCTACTACCATATAATATATCCAAAAACAAACAAACAATCAATCACTGCTTCCATTTTATTGTCGATAGATTCATAAAACAAAAGAAAAGGTAACAATTTTGAAATTAAAAAGGAAAAAAAATTAAATGAAAAGAAACAAGCCATGAAGTTGATTATCAGGATCCAAAAGCTCATCCAAAGCAGGAATCTAATGTCTATGCTTCTCATCCCTTAAATAAAACCTTTATTTTAGCACTTAATGGCAATTCAGACAATTTCTTACTCTGCGTTAATCGATCCCTCCTCCATGAGTTATTGGCTTGTTCCATGGTTTTTCACGTAAAAAGAAAAAAATCCACAATCCAAACACGCCTACTCTAAACAAAACCATTTTATAGAATCAAAACAGAATTAATTAATAATCAGTGAGAAATTAAAAGGAAAGATATTATTTTAAATTACCTGTTTGTAAGGGAAAAAGATTGCTGGATATCTGGGTTGGAAAGATCGATGCAATGGAGGAAGGAAATCTTGGTAGACGCGGGAGCACCATGCTGCCGCTGCATATTCTCCCTTCTTCTTATTTTTTTCTCGAGAGTGTCAATTTTCGAAATTTTTGTTCATCGAAACAGGTATTTATGTGCGAGCGTAGGGTGCAGAACAAACGATGTCGTTTCCATCAACTCTCTCCAGTTTGCTCTGTGGAAGAATGTGAATCTTATGACACTAATATGCAGAAAGCACCACAGCAGGAAGAGAATGTTTTGAATCACCTGCATGCATGCACTATCAGTGTGTGTTTTCTTAATGAAGATTGATATATAAAATGATATTTATACCCTCAGTCTGAGGACGACAAATACCTCTGTGATTGTCGTGTAGAAGACAGTGATTTGCAGACCAATTACACCATAATTTCTACCATTAATACAGCAGCAGGTAAAAGTGAAACATACACCTCAGCTGATTAAGGTTAATATTAAGAATATTTAAATGCCAAGTTCATGCAATAATAGGTAAAGTGATTTCTAGCTGTGTATTTTTTTTATTATTATTTTATATGTGGTTGTTGAATCCTAACTCAACCACACCATTATCAGTCATTATTCAAAACCATATAAAATTATACATGCTTTTAATATAAAAGATCATTATGAACAGGACGAGCCCTCCACCAAATTAAAAAAGTATTTAAAAATATAGTTGTGTTTTTTTAAATAATTTTTATTTAGAAATAAATTAAAATAATATATTTTTTATTTTTTAAAAATTATTTTTTATATTAGTATATCAAAATAATTTAAAAAAACAAGAAAAATTAATTCAAAACAAGAAAAAAAAAATTTAAATACATTTAAAATAATAAAACAAATATTCCATATGAAGATGGATGAGATCTTTCCTTAAATAGCCATCAATTATCAACGGAATATTATTCCAACGATCCTAAATGTATCGCATCCATCACTTCCTCAGGCTCTTAGTTTAATGATCTGTGTAAGCAGGGGGCCCACCCCTAATATGTTTTTAAACCCCTAAACAATATTGTTATTCCATTTTATACCCATTTATTTAAGGCCATGTTTGTTTCCCGGAAAACAGTTTCCGAGAAACCACTTTCTAAATTTTCCTATATTTGTTTGTCATTAGAAAAGTTGGTCAAGGGAAAATATTTTCTGGTCAACAAAAAAACACTTTCCAGTCAACAAAAAATACTTTCCGGTCAATGGAAAACACTTTCTGGTCAACGAAAAATACTTTCTGATCAACGAAAATATTTTTTAATCAAAAAAAAATTTAGCTTGGTTTCCAAGAAAGTGTTTTCCTTTTTAGCTGTGTTTGTTTTCCAAAAAGTGGTTTTCGGGAAAACACTTTCCAAACTTTCTTGTGTTTGTTTTTCAAAAAGTGGTTTCTGGGAAATCACTTTCCAAACTTTCTTGTGTTTATTTGCTGTTAGGAAAGTTGGTAAATGAAAAACACTTTCCAGTCACAGAAAAATTTCACTTGATTTTCAAGAAAGTGTTTTCCTGCAAAATTTGGGAGGAAAACACTTTTCGGAAGTTGTGAAAAATTTAGAAATGTCATTATTTGCTGATTATATCAAATTTGATCTTTAAACTTTTGATTGTTATATTTTTTTTTTGAATATTTATTTTTCAATTTCATTTCTTAAAATTTAATTTTTATATTAACTTTGGTCCTCATTTTTATAATTGTTATTTGCTTTT